ATGGACTTGTACTCCCAAAAATCGAAACCAACGGCACCAATACATGATGTAAGCACGGTTGCAAATGTAAACTCATTTGGCTCAGTACCTGCAAACTTTTCTGGTTATGATCTACTCAAAGGAAGGAAAAAAAAGGTTACTCAGTAAGTGAAGCTGTAAAGAGTGAACCTAATGGTTTACCTTACTTTTTAACCTTAAGAAGTACAATAAAATGCATGTAATTGTTTACAATCATCTTATAAGACCAACTGAATAATTCGAAGGAAGAAAGAACTTTTTTAAACTTGACCCCTTCACGAAGAAATTCTGAAGTTATTTAGGCAACTAATAGACTTCAACTTATTGTCATTGAAGAGGATAACATAATCAAATTCTTCCTATATCTCATCACAAGTTTCATTTAAATTTAAGTGCTGGCCTCTCTCTCATTCATTACCAATATTGTTACCAGTTTCTAAAATAAATGGTAAACACAAAAGGAGACAATACCTACATATCCACTCTTCCTTTTTCTTTTGAATCAACCAACACCAAGCCTCTTACTTACCAGTATAAACATGTTACCAGTTCATAGTTGTCTTTTTAGCTAGATGGTACAAAATACATTTTCTACTCAATTAACTAAGTAGTTTCAAATGTGCAAAAGCGTGTTTGATATGAAGATATATCCCTAAATTTGTAAGTACTTCTCAAAGTAATAGATGTACCTGATCTCAACATCTGAACAAAAAGATGGAGAGCTTCAGAGACATACCCTTTCTGAGAATACCCAGAAATAAGAGCAGTCCAAGAAACAACATTTCTCTCGGGCATTTCATCAAACACCCACCTAGCATCATCTAAAAGCTCACATTTTAGGTAGAAAACGATCAGCCTTGTCCTGAGGTACACTGGAGGTTGATAATGGGTTTTGATCATGTGGGTATGTACTCTTTGGCCTTCTCTTATAGCCCTTTGGCTTATACATTTGTTTAACAGAGTATCGTATTCCTTGAATTTCACTTCAAGGCCTTGTTTGGCCATTTCAAATAAGGCTTCTGATAGGAGACCATCGGAGCTTAGAGCTACAAGAGTTGAAGTACTTGACGGACATGAGCAGAAGAAAGTTGGCGTCTGGTGGCAAAAAGATGGCTTTTTCATTATGGATGAAAATACATGCTTAATTGTACAGAAAAATAGAGTTGTTTTTCTCACCATGTTTTTGCTACTGCTAGCGCTAGGGAAGGTAGGAGCCATGAGCAACTTTTATTCAAAAACCCATACACTTCAAATTATTGTTGCACTTTGTTATTATGCATATTCATGTATAATATATTATGATTTTTACCACGCCAAAAAAGGGAAAATTGTACTCCAAATACGGGGGATTATTTGTTTTTAGTCTTTTTATGTAGTCGGACATCTAAATCATTTTCTAAAAAATAAAAAGTACTCTTCAGTTATAATTTTAATTAAAATGTCAGAAATTTGAAAACGAAAAGATAAGTAAATAGTAGAGGTCAGCTTAATGTAATCCTAAAACACAAAGTTAAAAGATTTGGGATGTGCTCGTGCATGCAACTTTAAATACTTGTCTTTTATCAACATCAACTTAAACATTAATGCCACTTTGTTAAATTTGAACTCCATACCACAATCCAGAGTTTATTGGGTCCCAATATTTTATGTCACACCAGTATAACATTCTCAAGTTAATATCTTTATATCACACCAACATCTCTATTCTACGTAGCATGTGAGAAAACAATTGCTAAAGAGGTACAACGAGGAGCAGCCCTTCAACTGGGGCAAATCCAAATGAACATCACTTTGCATTCATCATGAGCACATAAATCATTTGAGTTTTGGAAAGGGAATGGTCTTTTTGCTGCTTTATTTTTCTGAAGAACAAATTTTACTCGCTTCAACCTAATCAACCCTCATTGTTGGTAAGATCTGGAGTAGAAATTGAGCATAGAAATGTTATTTACAGTCGATGGCCTGAAATCCAAAGGATTATTCCACCTCATTGATTCATCATTAGACCATTTCATGACTACATTTTCGAAAACCAAACCATCGATATGCTCCATCATGAATCCAGCAGTTTGGTGTTTTACAAGTTCTTGGCATCCTGGCCTGTAATCCACCCACCCATCTGGATATTTTGTCCATCTCTTGTATGTTAGGTTCATGTTTATGAACTTCAGATTGCTCAGGACTCCACCTCCTGACCCTGATAAGAAGATGCCGTTTTCAGAAGTTGATGTGATATTGACAAATAGCAAATTGGAGATTGAACCCGCTTTTGACGTTGCATCTCTTGGACAGGTTGTGACATAAATAGGCTCTGCTCTTCCCCACCATGATGGGTGGTAATATCTTGTGCTGATGTTTATGTTTGAGAAGGTGATGTCGCTAACATTTCCTGCTCGGTAAATAATCAATAAGACAATGCAATACTGAAATTTGAGAAGACAAGATAGGGAAATAGAGGTATAAATGCATGAGAGAAACATAACAACTAAGAGTTGGTCATTTGTTTTGCAAGATCAAAGAAAATGGTAAAAGCCCCCGAGTCGAGGGTCTATCAGAACAGCTTCTTTACCTTCACAAGGTAGGGGGGTAAGGCTGCATATACACTACCCTCCCGACACTCGACCTGTGGTATTACACTGGGTGTTTTTTTTTGTTGTTGTTGTAAACAAAAGGGTAAAATCGAAAGGTTTAACAGCATTGTACAATCTAGTGCTTATGTTCAGGTACGTAGGACAATCAGTTCAAGTATGTCGAACAAACAACTAAATACAAGAAAACTAAGAGCTTAACTGAACTAGGCTTGTATTTGATATCCTGACACAAACCAAACCAATTGATCAACTACTTTCAGTAAAGTTAAGGAGTCAAATCATCTAAGTTCTGATTGCAATTGTAGGATTTTAGTTGCACTAAGCTGTTTGGCATTGCCATGACTAGTTCCTGCAACTATAACAAGGTTTCAAGGAATTAAGTTGGCACAACATTGAGGCTTGTACCTAAGAAACCAAAATGGAATGATTAAAGCATCAGAACACTAGAAGGTTTAAGTTGTAATTCTGTTTCTATTGCATGAATAAAATGTACTCAAGAAATGCAAGTGTGAAACATGGAGAAAAGTTAGACACATGTAAATTTTGTATCTTAATGTATTGACTGTCATTCTAGTGGAAAAGAACCAAAGGTGAATACCTCCATCTCGAATTTGCAGAGCAAGGCCTCGATGAGATTCAAAAATTGTAATGTTGTCAAATAAGAAATTCTTGAACGTGTAAAAGCTAGCGCTTCCAAGTTTAATGGCAGAAGATTTTGTTCGAATCCAGCAGTTTGTTGCTGTGAGGTTGTGGACAGGTCCAGTTGATGACTTTGGACAGATAGCATCATCTCCTGTGTTTATGTTGCATCTGGTGATGACCGTGTTGTTAGAGTCCTCTATGTCTATACCATCGTTATTAGGTGAATTGAAGTCCCCATATATCGTTACATCACTGATTGATGTGTTATCACTTCGTACAAGATGCAAACTGCAACATCACACCATTAATTGGCTTTTTGAAGTAAATTCAGAACAGTGAAAGGGATAGAGAATGAAGTTTGAAAACAACAAATTTTAAAAGATTGACCTCTAAGGGGAATGCATCAAATTAAAGAGAGAAAGTATTCCTTTACAAACTTATTTTTAGTTGTATGATCCTATCTCTTTTTTAAGACACAGAGATTTATATCTGTCTTTCACACATAAGAAATATAAAAAGGTCATTTTCTTAAATTATAAATTGTAAAGGGGCATGATGTACAAATAATATACGCAAAAGGGTTCAAAATGCCCCTAAACTATTGGAAAAGGTTTAAAAATACCCTTCATCCACCTATTGGGCTAAAAATACACCTCCATCCACTTTTTTGGTTCACTTATGCCCTTTGACCGTTAGGTCAATACTGAATTAAAAATAATTACTTAAAAAAAATATTTTGCAAAATATTTTCATGTTTTTAAACTAATGCACAAGTAGTCCACTAATTTAGTAAAGTCTTCTTCTTCTTTTTTTTTTT